AATCAGCGTCGTCGATCCCGGTAAAAGGTTCGGCGGGAAGGGACAATACTCTCCCCCGGAGCGGCCAGACGAGGGGGATATGGCCGTAAATTGTTGTGTTGGTGATTCCTCCACCCAGACCACAAGCATTGACCATCTCCGTGGTCTGTGGTCTCTTCCATTACCTCATGTATGTGTGTTATTACTTGTGAGGATGGGCGTATACAGAGAGAGAGGGGGGGGGAGAGAGAGAGAGAGAGAGAGAGAGAGAGAGAGAGAGAGAGAGAGAGAGTGGTAAGAGGTGTATATGTGTATGTATGTCATTGGTGTGAGAAATGACTATATAGATGGTATTTCATGAAGTATAGGCTAATCCTAAAACAAATTTCATAATTTGCATCCTATGTTGCTCCCCTCAAATATTGTAGGAGAGAGTTTCAGATAGCTGGAGATAGATAAGAAAAGGACATACCAGCAAATTTCTGGCCTCCCCTCCTGGGTGCTCTTATAAGATACCAGTCTTCTAATCTTAGAGATCTTGATGGAACATACATTTGAATGAGGTTGCTTAAATAAAAGGGGGCTTTATTGGACATTTACGGCAAAATAGAGCAGTCTTGTTATTCTAGCTGTGGTTGGGAGCCAATTCAGTTTTCTTAAGATTGGTGTGATGAGGTTGTTTGTCCTCTTTTTAAACACGATTCTTGTGACTTGACTTTGAGAGGGCTGTAGTTTCAAGATTGTTATGCTAGGGAGTATTACAAATGAAGAATTGTAATATTCCGTGTAGAATGGAATAATGATGAAATGGGACTTTGAGTTTTCAATGAGTATATTAAAGAATACAGACAATTGCCCAATATTACGGAGCTTGCAGAGGAGCACTTGGCATAAATGGAAAGTGTAATGGTTCAGAATTTATTTCGACTTTATTTTTTTTTAACCCACAGAAACACTACCAGACTTTTCGTTTTGAGTAAAATAATATAATAACGTTCATTCCAAGTACGTATGTACTATGGATCAACAGATATTCTTTTGGACTGCACTAACTGCCTCTGATTTCTCTTCGTTAAAGTTGCAGTTTTGTTATCTAACATCCATGTCTTGAATGCCTTTTCCGATGTTTGAAATTAACAATTCCACTTCTGATGGTAAAGATGTAGATATGTAGGTATCATCAGCATGCATGTGAAAGATTAAATAACGCTTTTTTAAATAATATGGTTAAGTACATAGGATATAGAACTGGGCCCAAAACAGACCGCTGGGGTGTGCCATACACAAAATATAAACAGGTTGACTGGATTCCTTGGAGAATCACAGACTGGGTCCGTCCTGACAAATATGACTTGAGCCACTCGAGAACCGTATTAGAAATTCAAAAAGTCATTGATAATTGCTCGATAAGGATATATGTTCTTGTGTGTTCGTGTGTGCTTGTGTGTGTTCGTATGTGTGTCCTTGGATGCGTGCAGGAATAACTTACACCGCTACTCTACAGACATGGGTAAGAGGGAATGGTTGAGAGGAAGGAGAAGCTGTGGACATTTTATCACATACTAGGACACACTATGACAGCTTTATGGGTGCTTTATAGCACCAGGAACGTGCTAGACCTAAAGAAATAGGGGCAAGGTTAGGGATATGTTGAAGAAACGGTACAATGAAAGCCAGGGGACAAGCGAGAGATTAGATCAGATTAAATGAGATTAATAAAAGGGAAAGACGAGACCAGACTATTTGTGGAGTTATGGTAAGTTGAAGTAAGTTGGGGTAATGTGAAATAAGTTACCATAAAGTGAAACAAATAACGATGAGATGGAAATGACTTTCATTGTATGCATCTAATTTTGTAAACTGCAGTGAGAACAGCTTCGCCTCCAGTTGTGAAAGGTTGCTATGAGAATACAAGTGAGAAACAAGGAGGGAGGGGGGCGGGTGTGGTCACTACACGAAGTGCCCGAAAAAAAGTAACAAATGTTCAACCTTTGATAATCTAATATTAGTAAGACTTGGATTGTTAATTTTTCTTTGAAAGCCTCATATGAAAACTTTGACCTGCTCCCAATAAATTCTATTTATAGAAGACGTCCCTTTATCTGAGCCCTATCCTTTACTGCCACCGTCTGTGGCTAGGCGCTCCACTGCCTCACACAAGAGACGTGAGTGACCCCTGAATGAAGGAGTTTGGCTTTCATTTTGTTTTGTTTTTAACAAGTTACAAAGCCCATCTCCTATGGGACCCACACTGAGTCGATATAGGCGTAAAACATGTACAATCATTCATCTCTTACCTGGCTCTCCACGTTGGCATCCTCGTGTGACGGCAAAACTCGTAAACGACATAGTAGGTTCGTAGAGCTATAAGGTTCTGTCTTCACTTCCAATTGTTATCAGATAAAACCTTCTAGTTCTGGCGACCCAATATGTTTCCACTGGTGTCACGTAAGTATGACACCGGGACAGAGATATAAGTGAGGGAATGGCAGACTCCCCAGACGTGAGTCTGATGTGTCTGCGCTTCTCTCCCTATTTCTTTCTCCGTACGCACCCCCCC